GCAAACAAATCAAACATAAGTTGTTAGAATGGCTTATGGACCATCCCTGTTATGACTTAAATGAGTTTTTTGTAGAAAGTGCCAACATGATATTCTAGTCATTATATTTATTCTGACTGTCATTATATTTATTTAGTATTAATCTTATAACTCTATGCATGTTTTTTTTCTATCTATTTAACTGTACAGCTATTTATTTATTGTAGCGTCTGTGATATGCAAGCCTTTCTATTTTGTATGCTAAAATGTGACTGTGATAATGTATCGCTATTGTTTTATATATGTGTCTCTGACGAGGTCTATTGTAATCAATGATTATTTAATGACCAATAAAGTACTTGATTACTTGAATGTTTATGGTTAAAATATAATAACTTACGAGGTGTTAGCCCGCCCTCACGGGAATCGAGTAGTGAGATAAAACTGTGTACAATTCAGAACATCTAGTTTACACGTATAAATACAAATATTTTCTTGCAGTTTTAATGTGAAATATCATCTTGTAAACAAATGTTACGTGACCAAATATGTTTTTATCCTATCATAGGCCAGAACAGCATTGTTTCATAATACGATATACATTTTCAATCCGATAATTTTACAATAAAACAGCAATTGTGATGATGTGAAAAGCGTTGAAGAGAGATTTGCGGCCGATTCGCAAACTAATTATTAGTAGCCTACAGTAGAGAGAGTAATAGCATACATAAAATATAGTTCCTTAGTAGATTTCCCATCCTTATGGAACAGCTGAAGCCAATTTTATTGCTATAGGTCGGCCGGTTATAAAACGACCTGCGCAAAATTTTTAGCGCATGTACGGGAGGTAACAGCGAGGGAGGATATGTTCTCCCACTCCGCCAATGGCTGTTTTCACACTGCACGATACGACACCGGCACAATATCGACACGGCGCCGCCCCGGTGTCGTGGGAGTTGGAATCCTGTGTTACAAAATGGAAGTGCTAACACAATGATTGATAGCCTATAATAACATTTCATGATGCTCAAATATTGATGCGATTTAGGCTAAGATACAATTTTTTTTGCAGGACCTATTTTTCTCATGTTATGAAGAACATAATTGTTTACATTTTGATCAGCTGTACAATTTAATTTATTAGCTGTGTTCGGGAAGGTAGGGGGTGGGGCGGCAGGGGAGTGGGGGAAGAGCCATTGTCTCACTCCCACAGCTCGGTATCTCTCTCTCGCACCAATGCTACGAGGAGGACGCTTTCTAGCCGGCCGACCTATGGTTCTGTCCGGTTTTCTGTAGATGTCGTGTTTTGTTTACAATTTGTTTTTATTACCTATCTTAGAGTTAGTATCTCATGATTTGTGTCTCACTGTTTGGTTGTATAGCTAGTGGTCGAGTTATTGTTTATGATTAGATAGTTAAGGTTTTAAATTACTGAAATAACAAGAAACCAATTGTAAACAAAACTCGACATCTACAGAAAACCGGACAGAACTAACAATACAATTGGCTTCAGCTGTTCCATAAGGATGGGAAATCTACTAAGGGACTATGTCTTATCTATGGTAATAGTCAATTGAGAAGTCCTAGTCAACGAAACCACCTTCCATCGCATACCTGCCTCTTCCATCATTATTATCACAATACAATTACTCATACTATAACACAATTTCCAGTAGGTCTGAATAGAAACTACCTAAAATAAATCGATAACATCCAATCAAATAGACAGTACACATTTAATATAAAACTTTGGTGTCCTAACATCACTAAACGAATCGTCCACACCTATCCTTTATATAAACCACTGCATCAATTGCTAAGTATAATCAAGAAGAAAAGTAAAAACAATAACATAGTTTGTTTTGAAAAAGCTGTTGGGTTAAAATAACACTCATTTGAAAAAAAGAACTGGTCGCATGTCGAAGGAATTTTAAAAGTAAACACGCTAGTAAAGTAATTGTCTATGTTTATTATCCACACCGTTATCAGTTCTAATATCCTTCATAATTAACCACCCTCATTGAATCAATATACATCGTAATTTCCCATATTAAGTTAATTTAGCCTATTTGAACTATAATATGTTTATAGTTGAAATAAAAGTTATATTTTGCATTAAATCAGCGCCCCCATACGTAACCATAACTGAACACACGCCAAACAACCTCTTTTTAGATTTCATAAAAGGATGGTTTGTCTAATTGCAGTACTGTATCCTAGGTCAATGATGACGTTGTGTTCAATCTATGTCATCCATCTGTTTATCTTTGTATAAAACCCGGCTGAGGTTGTGGTGGTATTTTAAAATCGTGATTCCTCATGATTCTTGACCTCCTTTTTTATGACATCAATATTTCCGTGCCTTATCCAAACAAAGTTTAAGCAGAAACATTAATTGCAAACAAAAAGCTACCAAGACGATTTAAAACATGTAAACATTGTTCTTTTATTAAGTTAAGTATTTAAAAAACTTAGGGCAAGGGAACTTAGGTAAGTACCTACCTAGCATCTCTAAGGTGTGCAGGGAATTTTAGTGGGAGTGACTATAACATATTATGGTCATATTCTTTTGAAAAACTAAGTTATTATAAAGTCTTTGATTAGGGATTAGCATCCGATCAATGTTTGCGAAACATCTCATGTTTTTCATCGATGTTTAATGTTTTTGGCATCGATGTTTTCCAGTAAGTTACTGGAGAGTACAAAAAGCAGACGAAAAGCTGAAAAAATGGTACCAGTAGGGTACTTTCCAGTTAAAGGGAACATTCATTAATATCATCGATCATTTTCTCGATATATCGATATTTTTGTTTTCCTTTAATGTACAAATTGACAACTGATCTTGTTTAGGCTAAAATATAGTCTACTAAGTTATGGATTAAGAAATTAAACTGTTCTAACCTAACATTTAGTAACCAACCAATCCGTTTCATAACAGAAAAGGCAAGTGGAGAATATTAAATGGAATTTTTAAATGTAACAGCAAGTTTGGTTAGTTTTGTTAGGTTAGTTTCTCTAAGAACAGTTTCTTAATTTAAATATTAAAAAAAATGATCGTTTGTTGATACTGAACAATATCTATTTATCTTAGTTGTCAGCTGATATGTTACAATTCATTAATATCGATATATCGAGAAAAAAATCATTGATAATGAATGTTCCCTTTAACAGGAAAGTACAAAAAAATCAATGTTTTCACAACGATGTCGGTACATCCATGCTTAACGTTGATGAAACCATTAATGGTGAACATCGATGGATGACTTATCGATGCTCATCTCTATGGTGGATGGTGGAGATAATGCAGTAGACCTCCTCTTAACCGACCCTAATGGGACCGGATCTAGGTCGGATAACTTAAAAGGTCGGTTAAAACGGGCAATCCCTAAATTCATAACCTTATGAAGTGCTATTCATTTGGAATAATATTGGCCTAATAATTATTTTGAAGTCATACTTGCATTATTTATAAAATAAACTAGCCTACCTACTCTTATCTCCTTTTTCGTATTGGTAGAAAAGTCACAAATAAACACAAAACATGGTTAAGTCAAATGGGCCTACTTTCAGTGGAATATATTATAATAGGACTACTAGGCAAGAGTCAATACAAATTCCCTGGTATTTTAATAACATTACATCCTACTGTAATGTATTAGCCTAATAAGCTTTTAAAATCCATTGTAATACAGTACAGAGCCTTTTGTTGAAATTAAAGATACTAGCAACCATTTTGTTACAAGACAGGGTGTTTATTTAAATAGCCTCTCACTGGAGGCTCGAGGCAGACAAACTATCTTGACCTTGGAGTTGTTAACGCCCCTTCCCTGCCCTCCCTACAAGCTGCGTTATTTGTTTACTCCAGCGATAAGATAATCAGGTCTCAAAATCACAATGCACTTTATGATGTTATAAATTTGCCGCACAGATAACAAATCGGATCAGATGTGCTCGCGCTACAACGATGATGACAAAATGACAATAGGCTATATTTTTTGTGACCAATAGCCTACAAAATGACTTATTCTTAGTCATATCCTGTGGAGATAAGCGTAGCCTATAGTTCAGTTCTCATCGCCCAGCAAGGGAGCGGGGGAAATGCCGAGATTTCTAGAAAGCGGCAGTTAAACCGAACTGCTCTCAAAGCAAGGTCGAGTAAAACAAACTGTATTATTTTACGACCAAGGCGGATAATCTGATCAGTTAATACGAGGTCGGTTAAGAGGGGGTCTACTGTAGCCTAAATTAAACAGACTGAGCTAAACTGAGGCCTGTAACTTAAGTCCTTATAAAAACGACAATCAAAAACCAAGGGGAAACGGCCTTTCACAAAGCCCTGAAATTGAAAACCTTGTTGAGGGAGAAACCATACTACAGCCTACAAGACTATTTTAATGATAAACTTTAAATTAATAAGCCTGCGGCAAAATCATCCACAGCCAAAGTACTTTTAACATAGTTCATATTTTTCAAACTAGGCCTATGGAAGTTTTTGTGTATATAGGCCTAGTGTAAATAGAAAATTGACGCAACCTATCCGGCTCTGCTGGTCACGGTCAAGGAGGTAGGCCTAGGCTAATTAATTATAGTCCTAAGTTAAACTAATGCAATTCATTGATATTGTTGTGCGAATTTTCGGAAGAACAAGTCTGGAAATGTGGGCTTACAAAGTTAAGACAGCCTTTACCGTCTACCTACAGTATGGTAGGCCTACATAGCAACCTAGACCTAGCCTGTCAAGAAGATCCTTTTTGAATTAGGAATTGATCTTGCTACCTCACACTCTCCCGAATTTCTATCTCTATCGTAAATCATAGCTAACTTAACACCAAATAAAAGTGTCAGTTTAATTAAATAATGAGAATTCTTGTGACCATATTATAGGCACACGCATTCGGAACCAAAAAGTCAAGTTACTAGGTTAGGCAACGGGGCATTCTTCGAGGACCGAACTGAGGGAGAAATATCAACATACCATCAATAAATTACTTAAATACAAATGATAAGGGTTAAAAGTTTACCTTTATATAAACTGCTGAAGAATTGATATTGGGTTTCCTACTCTCCGTTGTAGAAAACTCCAACCTAAATACACGAAAACGTGAGAAAAGAAAGACCGGAGTAGACAGACGGAAGTTGTAAGCAAAAGCAAAAGCTTCTTGCAGCGCCACCTTGATACAGAAAAATCAATGTACAGAGTAGGAGTGCTATATGTATGTCAATGCTTATTGTGAAATGCGTATTGCAGTTATACTCGTGCTTTGAGTTTGCAATGGGATAGGACAAGGTTTAAGTAAATTTGGTTCTTTTAATTTACGGTATGCTATAGTCATTCTTTTTGTCTATGGTATAACATCTACCATAGACATAATGTTCTACCACTGCCCCCAAACAATAAAAAGTGAAACTCTAATTTTTCACAGCTTTTTTTGCTAGTTGGTTCAAATTATATGTTGTCATAAAAATGCAAAAAATAATAGTGCTGCACCCTGTTGGTAAACCTTATAATCTTTTAATGCTAGGGGTATTTAATGTCATAGAACCAAATTATGTAGTTGAAACATGACAAAATGCTTTTATTCCTTTTAAATAGGACTCGTAAGGTTAACATGGGAAAAACTCCAGAGCCACTGGGGTGGAGCCCGAAAGGATTTTTGAGATAAGAATGCGTCTAAATGTTAATCGGGAATGTGAGCTATCATCACAACAAATTTCAGCCCAATCCGACCTGCATTTTTCGTGTTTACGTGTCACAAACGTCCCCATCCATACATGCAAACTTTCTCATTTTTATTATATTAGTAGGATTATACCAGGGAAACTTTAATAATTATTGACAATTGTCATTGCAAATCGTTTAACAAAATTCATTGTAGTCCATACACTTGTGGTGAACGATAGGACTAATTCCCTAAAACTTGGGAAAGTTCGGGTTGGACAATTTTTTGTACGTTGTGAAAAGTATGGAAGATCGGCTCGGCAGACGACGGACGCTTTCAGCCAAGCCATACGGCAGTGTCATTGTCAGATGCTTTCAGGCTGGCGTTCGACGTTCGTGTTATTCTTGTTATTTATAATATTGCCGAAGAAGAATGTGGCCGAACACCAGCCTGAGACACTGCTGTATATAGTTGAAAGCCTCCGTCGCCTGCCGGTCTTCCATACTTTTCACAACGTAAAAAAAAATAGTCTAACTCGAACGATCCTAAGTTTTAGCTTAGCTTAGACTTTGTAATTAGTCCTATCGTTCGCCACAAGTGTAACTACAATGAATTTGGTTGAGGTTTGAACGATTTGCAATAACAATTAATTATTAAAGTTCCCCTGGTAAAATATTTGAGGGGGGGCGTCACGGGCGGCACATCTATCCGGCTCCAAATCTGACCACCACTGTAAGGTTAATCGGTTAATCAGGAGTTACTAATCTAATCTCACAACCCAACCTGGTTCCGAGCTGGTTCCGGGTTCCGAGGCAGTTTTATGTGAGGTAGGCGAGCTGGGTTCCCCCTCCACAACACTAAACATATTATATACTCTCATTCTCTTCCTTCCACAGCACCAAACAGCCAACTCTCTTTTTCTTTTGCTCCCGGCAACCCTAGGCATCTCTTCGTCATGACTCCTTTGGTTATGCTATGCGATTATAATGAGCGGTGGATCCAGAGTTATCTTCCCGATTTCACCAGTTTGCCTTACGAATCTCACTCCTTCCAATTGTTTTATGTAAATAAATGGCAGAAATGTATTTTCTATCTAGATATAATATAGTTATTGAATAGAGAATATGATAACATGTGCTGATCTGTAAGATATTTTTGGCCAACTCTCGCATTTAAATGTAGTTTACTCCTAGGCTAGGTCTAAGAGGAGTCGCCTTGAAACATGTTGTAAAAAGATTGTTTTTAAGTACTTGTTTATGTATTTTTACATGCTGTAAAACCTATACTGATCATGACTCCTTAAAGATTTGTTATCAAACGTAAGTAGTAACAGGTAAAATTAATTTAATAAAAAATAACCTTTATTGAAGTATTAAAACAGTTAACATAAGATAAATTTAAATATGAACGACATAGCCTACACCACATTAATAATGTAATAAGTAATATATGATATAATTATATAATATATATATATAATTATATATATAATATATAATTATATAAATGAAAAAAAAAACATTATTTACATTTCTTCTACTTGGTTGTGTTTTTTGACTTTCCTAAGTTTCCATTGTTTGAAAATCGGCTCTTTCAATGATTGCTCAAGAAATGTAGCACAGTGTTAATTCAGTTTTATTTTTAGTATATCAAATTGTCCAGGATTTCTTGTTTTTTTCCATTGCAATAATTACACCAACCCAAATATCGTCTACAGATGCAATACGCCAATAGTATATTTCATTACTAGGACCGAAAGTGGCATTTTCCGGCGCGTGCTCAAGTTTTTGTGTGAGGCGAAGCGGAACACAGGGAACTCCAATTTCACGTGCGAGGCGAAGCCGAGTACGTGAGAACTATTTTCACGTACGAGGCGAAGCCGAGGACGGGAATAATGGAGCAAGTGCCGGGTAATAACTTTCGGTACGAGTTATGAACGATACTTTTCATCATGACGCAAAAATACACAAACACAGATAAGCAGACCTCAGTAATATTACAATAATTATTTATCAAACAATTTGTTTAAACATAAAAATAAAATACAATTTGTTTAAACATAAAAATAATCTTCTAAAAGTAAACCTAAGTATATTTTCGTTTAATTTTTCAAATATAAAAATAAAATAAAATATTCTAAAGGAAACCTTTGTATATCTCTCAATACTTCAAACATCAAAATAAAAGAATAAAACAACTTTGAACAATACATACAGCTGATTCAAATCATTAAATAAACCGTAACAAAACACTAGCGCGCGTAGTGAATAAATGGAGAACTAATTGAGAGCGAGGGAAAGTAAATTTAGAGCGAGGGGAAATCAGCTGATCGATTTTCCCTCGCCCTAAATGAGAGCTTGGGAAACAACTACTTTCATAGATGTCAGCTGTTATCGAAAATAGTTACTTTCGGCGAGGAGTGATGAAAAGAATATTGTCTACGTGCAACACGCCTACGTAATATCTCCAAGAAGTGGTAAAAAAGGCAGTAACCAACCCATACAATAGATATAAGTTAACTCCATAAGAAATAATTTTAAGAGTTACTGTGATATTAGGATTTTCCACTGATTTGGTAAAAGAACATTATATTGCAAAACATAGCACGATTCAGAAGAAAATCGATTTTAAAATCAAAATCAGCAAAAACCATTGCAAATACTTCATTTTCACAAATTTAGTAAATCACAATTTAAATATTAACAGCTGTTTCATTAAAAAGTAGTGTAAATGTATGCATACGGTCGTGGTGTAAACAAATCTGAAGAGGGGACCTTAAAGGCCTCTGTGGCAGAGCCCCAAGGTAATTCACCTTGTTTCTCTTTTGATGGCTCATCTACAGACTAAGACCTTTCTTTAGAGACCCCTACCAATGTTTCTACGCCCAGCCGTTCTCTGAAATTAGCTGTGAGAAAAACCCGTTTTTCCTCCATAAGAATAACATGGGATGGGAATTTAAAGGCCACTGGGGCAGAGCCCAAAGGGAATTTACCACATTTCTCTTTTGATGGCTCAACTTCAGACCAAGACCTTTCTTTAGAGACCCCTACCGAGTTTCTACGCCCAGCCGTTCTCTCAAATTAGCTGTCACAAAGAAAAACAGTTTCAAATTAATATATAGATTCACTAGCTGTAACCCGCGGGCTTTGCCCCGTTTAACTTCTTAATTTTCAAGATTATCTCGTTCGCATGGCTCAATCACGTCCTGGTTGAAGTTTGTTCGCTACGCTCACTCACCTTTAGGTTGGAGCTCGTTCGCTACGCTCACTCACTTTTAGGTTGGAGCTCGTTCGCTGCGCTCACTTGCCTTCAGGTTAGCTCGTTCGCTACGCTAACTCGCCTCCAGGTTGAAGTTCGTTCGCTACGCTCACTCACCTTTTGGTTGCAAATTAGCTGTTGTCATAAATGTGAAAGAAATAATAGTGCTGCACCCTGTTGGTAATCCTTGTAACTTTAATGCTATTGAACATCATAGAACAGAACCAACTTGTTTAATTGAAACAGCTGTTAAGATTCAATAATTCCATTTCTCATAAGGTTAACATTGGAAACTCCGGAGCCACTGGGGCGGAGTCCGAAAGGATTTTTGAAATAAGAATATGCCTATAAGTTAATCGGGAATGTGAGCTATCATCATGCCAAATTTCAGCCCAATCCGACCAGTATTTTTCGCGTTCACTTGTCACAAACATACATCCATACATCCATACATCCATACATCCAAACTTTCTCATTTATAATATTAGTAGGATTAGTAGGATTTTGGAAAACCATATGTTTTATTTGTTGTTTGTTTACATACAATAAAATAAAAATACTTTAGCCTATACTTTTAATTGGCAGATTTTATTTTGAATGGGCAGCATTGATCTCTAATGGACAGCTAGATAACCTCTAGAGATCGATGGATAACTTTCAGTATCCAATAGTCAACGATTTAACTGAGATCCGATGAGAAATGTTTTGCTAATGAAAACTAAATTTTAAGATCCTTTAATACCGATTTTACCTATATACTCTATTTCAATGTAAATGATGTTGAATTAAATTAACACAATGTTACAAGTTTTTAATGCTTTATAACAAGGTTTTAAGTAGCCCAGTGTCTCTGATGAAAGAAAACAGCAATACAACCAAGGTAAGTCTGTTTAGTTATTTATAGGCCAATTTCATGATGACACATTGTTAGAAGGTAGCCTACCTATAAGTACTTCATTGTTTTAAAGCTAATGTGCCTAACATAAAAAATATATTTTCTTATATTTTATTGAAGAATTAAACAAAATAATGAAGTATACTACATTACTGCTTTTGGTTGATCAATGGCACAAAATTCTATGAAGTAGCATGAAAAAGAATTTCTCATACATGTTTCAGTTCCTGTATGTCAAATATTACAAATCAACCTATTAAAAACACTTTTATCAATTTAACGCGTGTTTCCATTGAAGCTGTATCCTTTTCACGACAGCTTAACCTCAGCAAGTTTAG